GCACAGGGTTTACCATAGGAGGCAGCAAGGTCCAGTCAGGAGATCTGGATCTGTTCGTGGTTCTGCAGTTGACTGGCTGTGTGACCCGGGCAAATCACTGAAGACCAACATTTGCAAAAGTGGCCTCTGATTTCGGGCGACTCCGTTTCTGGGTGCCCTGAACCAGCCACTGTGAGCCTGGTTTTCAAGACTTGAGCACCCCTCAACTCCAGATGAAGTCAATGGGAGTCATAGGAGCTCGGCACCCCAGAAAATCATGCTCAACGGTGTCTCAAAATGAGCATCCAAAAATCAGAGGCTGTTCTTGCAAATGTTGGCCATAAGCTCTGTGCCTTGGCTTCCCCGTCTTTAACGCAGGGATGACTTTTGCGAAGAACTTTGAGATCTATGCACAAAGAGCACCAGGCTGAGTGGATGTCAGTGAGGTGGACTTTTGCTTCAAGCAAAGAGTGGGGTTGGGTGTTCGGCATTAGCCTAGTGAATTTTGTGGTATTATCTTTCACATACGGGGCTGGGAGACCAGAAGATGGTTCCTTCTTTTTAAAAAAAATCTCAAAATATAAATAAAAGGTGGGTTTTGCTAGATAAGGGGTCGTGTGTGGCAGCAGGGTTAAAATATTAGTAATTAGGAAGGGAGATTTGCCCTTGTGGGGGACGGGCTGTTATTCCCACAGAGCAGGTTATTTGAGTTGATTAGTTTCATTTTGGTTGTGCTGTGTTTTCATATGTGTGGATTACTTTAAACTGTCTCCTTGGTACTTGTTTCCAGACCTGTTGAGAGAAGCCTGTTTGAAGGTGGGGTTAAAGCGGAGCGGGGTGCGCACACAGCAAAGCATGACTCAAGGATGCGATCGCTGCAGACCATGCTTTGGCATATTGCAGTGGCATGGCCCTCATAAAAGGGCTTTGGAAGTCCCCCTCTAAAGGGAAGAGGAGGGAGCGGTGGTAGTGTTCTTGTACACATATGTGTAAAGAGAGACATGAATTTACCTTTTGCCCTTCTATGGCAATTCCCATCAGAGATCTCAAAGCACTTTATAAATATTAATAATTTGTATTATTGCAGCACCTAAGAGCCTGAGACAGGGAAATACTATTTCCATTTTACACGTGGGTGAATTGAAGCAAAGAGATTTGAGATGATTTCCACAGTATAGTGGAGGGAGTTCATGACAGAGCCAGGAACAGAACCAAAGTCTTGATGCCAAGCCTCTGCTCTAACCACTAGACAATGTTCCCTTTCTACATTGTAACAGGCTGATGCTTTGAGTTTGTATTGTGGTGTGAACAAAGCTTTACGTGGCCCTCTGCAGAACCATGCTAGTCTGATGGCCCAGACAGTCCCACAGTGCACAGCACCATGCCCTCAAGGGAAGCCCTCAAGGCCTGCTTCCCGCCCAGCAGCACAGTGCAGGTCAGCAAGAATGGTGTGTGGGATTCCTTGTCTTGCCCCAGGATTCCAAACACCCTGCCCTTTGGACTACTAGTGTGGATGCAGAAATGCTTTAACTTAATATGGTTACAGTTTAAACCCTCCAAGTAAACCATTTTCAAAGTGATTTAATTTGGTGCCAGTGTGGGCAGGGCATAACAGTCCAGATTACCCGTCGCTGAGAGTGGATCAGGGCACTGCCGGCTCCCTTCCTTTGTCAAGACACTGCCACTTTGCTCCAGCCTCTGCTTGGTTTGCTATATGCAATGCCACCATTCATTTCTCCTCTCTGCTCTCCCACGCCGTTTCTGAGCCCCCCGATGTCAGCACATGCAGAAGTACAAGGACATTGCTATTAGCAGTAGGAGCTGGTATCTTGGCAACAGTATCAGCTAAGACAATTTAAAAGTAGAGGGGGTTCTGAGTGTCTCTGCTCTGCTGCGATGGATGAAGAACTGTAAAAAACTCCAGCCCCACTTCCATTTCTCAGAATGGCAGCCATGTTAGTCTGTATCAGCAAAAAGAACGAGGAGGACTTGTGGCACCTTAGAGACTAACAAATTTATTTGAGCATGAGCTTTCGTGAGCTACAGCTCACTTCATCGGATGTATACTGTGGGCTCATGCTCAAATAAATTGGTTAGTCTCTAAGGTGCCACAAGTACTCCTTTTCTTTTTGCGAATACAGACTAACAACAGCTGTTACTCTGAAACCTGTCAGTAGGAAGATAGATATATACACAGAGAACATGAAGAAATGGGTGTTGCCATACCCACTATAACGAGAGTGATCAGTTAAGGTGAACTATTATCAGCAGGAAAAAAAAACAACCTTTCGTAGTGATAATCAGGATGGCCCATTTCCAACAGTTGACAAGAAGGTGTGAATAACAGTGGGCGGGGGGGAGGGAAATAAGCATGGGGAAATAGAATCATAGAATATCAGGATTGGAAGGGACCTCATGAAGTCATCTAGTCCAGCCCCCTGCTCAAAGCAGGACCAATCCCCAATTTTTGCCTAAATGGCCCCCTCAAGGATTGAGCTCACAACCCTTTTACTTTGTGTAATGACCCATCCACTCCCAGTCTTTATTCAAGCCTAATTTAATGGTGTCGTTTGAAAATTAATTCCAATTCAGCAGTTTCTCATTGGAGTCTGTTTTTGAAGTTTATTTGTTGTAGTATTGCGACTTTTAGGTCTGTAAGCGAGTGACCAGGGAGATTGAAGTGTTCGGTTTTTGAATGTTATAATTCTTGACGTCTGATTTGTGTCCATTTATTCTTTTACGTAGAGACTGTCCAGCTTGGCCAATGTACATGGCAGAGGGGCATTGCTGGCACATGATGGCATCTATCACATTGGTAGATGTGCAGGTGAACGAGCCTCTGATAGTGTGGCTGATGTGATTAGGTCCTATGATGGTGTCCCCTGAATAGATATGTGGACAGAGTTGGCAATGGGCTTTGTTGCAAGGATAGGTTCCTGGGTTAGTGTTTTTGTTGTTCCAGAGGAACAGCCGTGTTAGTCTGTATTCGCAAAAAGAAAAGGAGTACTTGTGGCACCTTAGAGACTAACCAATTTATTTGAGCATGAGCTTTCGTGAGCTACAGCTCACTTCATCAGATGTATACCGTGGAAACTGCAGCAGACTCTGTGTGTATATAAAGTCTGCTGCAGTTTCCACGGTATACATCCGATGAAGTGAGCTGTAGCTCACGAAAGCTCATGCTCAAATAAATTGGTTAGTCTCTAAGGTGCCACAAGTACTCCTTTTGTTTTTGTTGTGTGGTTGCTGGTGAGTATTTGCTTCAGGTTGGGGAGCTGTCTGTAAGCAAGGACTGGCCTGTCTCATTTCTGGATCTTGTTTGAACTACAGGTGAAAAAGAAAAGGAGTACTTGTGGCACCTTAGAGACTAACCAATTTATTTGAGCATGAGCTTTCGTGAGCTACAGCTCACTTCATTAGATGTATACCGTGGAAACTGCAGCAGACTTTATATATACACAGAGAATATGAAACAATACCTCCTCCCACCCCACTGTCCTGCTGGTAATAGCTTATCTAAAGTGATCATCAGGTGGGCCATTTCCAGCACAAATCCAGGTTTTCTCACCCTCCACCCCCCCACACAAATTCACTCTCCTGCTGGTGCTAGCCCATCCAAAGTGACAACTCTTTACATAATCAAGTCGGGCTATTTCCTGCATAAATCCAGGTTTTCTCACATCCCCCCCCCACCCCCATACACACACAAACTCACTCTCCTGCTGGTAATAGCTCATCTAAAATAATTACTGGAGGTCAAGGCTGCCACCTACTGGCCAACACACCTCAGTGTGGGCTACCACTTATTTCTTCATTCTAGTGCTTTGCTTTTCTGCAGCTTCTCCCGCCTCAAGATCTCAAAGCCTGTTACAAATCTTAATTAATTAAGCTTCCCCGTAAGGTGGTCAGTATCATTATCCCCATTTCAGGGATAGGTAAACTGAGGCATAGAGCGGGGATGTGGGTTGCCCAAGCCCACACAAGAGATTAGAGTCAGGTGTAGAACCCAGGAGTCCTGACTCACTCCCCTGCAATAACCATTAGGCCAGACTCCGTTTTGCACGCATGGTCTGTACATCCAGTAGTTTCAGTGTTCAGATACTAACTATAGGGGAGTCCCGGCTGAGGCCTTGTGAAGCCTGGTACTTGGGGGAGCAGTAGGACTCAGGGGAAGAGCTCCGGAACTGGGGGTCAGTGGGTGAAGGGATCTCGGGGTGGGGGGTAATTCCTGGAGGGGAGTCAGTAGCTGCAGAAATTGGGGGGAAGGGTGAGAGGAGGGTTTGGTGGACACTCCTTGGAGGGGGGCAGGAGCAATGATTGGGAGGAGTCAGTCCCGGTTGGGGTCCTAGGGGGTGTCAGTGTCTGGGCGGAGTTGGGGGGTGTGTCAGTCCCATTTGAGGGTCCCCAGGGGTGTCAGTGTCTGGGGGGGATCAGTCCCTGTTAAGGATCCCAGGGGGTGTCAGTGTTTGGGGGGGTCAGTCCCAGTTGGGGTTCCCGGGGGTGTCAGTGTCTGGGGGGAGTCAGTCCTGTTTGGGGTTCCCGGGGGTGTCAGTGTCTGGGGGAGTCAGTCCCGGTTAGGGGTCCCAGCGGGTGTCAGTGTCTGGGGGGGTCACTCCCGTTTGGGGATCCCGATGGGGGTCAGTGTCTGGGACGAATGGGGGGGGAGGTCACTCCCGTTTGGGGATCCCGATGGGGGTCAGTGTCTGGGAGGAATGGGGGGGTCAGTCCCGGTTAGGGGTCCTGGGGGTGTTAGTGTCTGGGGGGGCCACTCCCGTTTGGGGGTCCCGGGGGTGTCAGTGTCTGGGGGGGTCAGTCCCAGAGCGGGAAGAAATCAGTGGCTGGGGATCCCGGGGTCCGTGGCTGGGAGGGTCCGGCCCGGAGAAGCGGGAGGTCCCCGGCGGGGCGGGGGCGAGAGGCTGGGTGCAGGGCCCAGGAGCTCAGTCCCTGGGCCCTCGTCCGCGGGGGGGGGTGGGGGGAGGAGCTTCGCCTCTTCGAGAAGCGTGTCCCGAGCGGCAGCCCGTAGCGGCGGGTCACATGGTCTCACCTGGCTCAGGTGAGGGAGGGGCCGGACGCCGTTCACCTGGCTCGGCACAGGTAACTCCAGGGCCGGGCCTGGCCAGCGACCCCCCCACGGCGGGAGGGGGCCCGCTTGGGGAGCCCCCCCCGCGTCCGGGGGGAGCAGGCCCCGCCCTGCCCAGGTCGCTCCCCCCCCGACACACTGCGGGGGGGCGGGCCCCGCCCCTGCCCGGCTCTGGGCGCCCCAGACCCACCTCAGAGACCCCGCCGGCGGGGGCCGCCCCGGGGGACCGTTCAGACCCCGCGCGGGGGGAGCGGGGCCCTTGGAGCCGGGGCGGGGTTCTCCCGCCTCTGCTCGGTGGCTAGGGGGTTGTGTGCCGCGGGCAGCGGTTGGGTGTCGTGTGCGGGCCCCTGGGGAGATCGTAGGCATCGTGCGCAGCCCCGCAGGGGTCCGCGGACAGGAGGGTGTAACCCACCGGCCTCGTGAGATCCAAAGCCGCGGATTCCTCGCTGCCTTGGGGCAGGGGGAGCTCTCCTTCCCCCTCCCCACGGAATCGGTCTCCGCTCCTTGTGACAGCCCTTCTCCAACACCCCCCCACACACACACACACACCCCACACCCCCCAGCAGGCTGCCTGTTTGATGGTGTGACATTCACCCAAGCACTCTGTGTCCCCCTCCCTGCCTCCCCCAGCCTGCTCGCTCTGGGGGCGGGGGGGACACGCATGTTGTGCTCCCTGTGTGTTGCTGGGCTTGGGAGGGTCCTGGGCTCCATGTGGGATGACAGATCTGGTGTGTGTGTTCAAGAAATGTGATCAGCTTTCTAGGGAGCGTGTGATTGACTGGAACCACAAACGCCAGTGCAGCCGTTGCCACTTCATGTCCTGTCCTCTGAAAGAGCTGCTGCGGACCCAGTACCTACAGTGCCATCGTTACACTAGATGCACGTCTGTTACTCTTCCTTTGGAAAATATTTTTAGTTAAGTTTTTAAAAAGTAGCAGTGTGCTGTGTTGTTGGGAACGCCCAAGGTGTTTGTGTCAGAGGTAGATGTACCTCCGTTTATGTGAAAATAACTTTGTCTGTAGTCGCAAAAAGACAAGGAGGACTTGCGGCACCTTAGAGACTAACCAATTTATTTGAGCATAAGCTTTCGTGAGCTACAGCTCACTGCATCTGTAGCTCACGAAAGCTTATGCTCAAATAAATTAGTTAGTCTCTAAGGTGCCACAAGTCCTCCTTTTCTTTTTGCGACTACAGACTAACACGGCTGCTACTCTGAAATTTGTCTGTAGTGAATCTTCAGGAGAATGAACAGTTTATTATGATTTGTACAACAGTGGTGTCTAGGATCGCCAACTGAGATTGGCAACTCCATTGTGCTAATGTACAAACGTATAGTGAGAGGCGAGCTTTTGATCTAAATAGACAAGACAGATGTGAGGTGGGAGGGGAAACTAAGGCACAGCAGCAAAGTGACTTGCCCCAGATTGCCCAGCAAATAAGTGGTAGAGCGGGGAATAGAACCTGGATGTCCTGAGGCGCAATCTACTGTCAGCAAAACCACTGTAAGGCAGGTTTGAACCCTGGCAGCAGTGTGGTTTTTGAAGAAACTGTAAAAGCTATTGAGGGTTGTGTGTGTTTGGATGCAGGTCACATTAGAAATCAAGAAAGGATTAAATTTGAAATACAGCAGTTTGGATGTTCTGAAAGGCCCCCTTTTATCCAGTGTTTCCAAATCCTCCAGAACTAGATAGGGATGAGTCAAAGCTGTGGCCAGCCTGGTTATTGGCTTACTGGTTTTGATAATTCAGCTAAAATAACAAGGAGTCCGGTGGCACCTTAAAGACTAACCGATTTATTTGGCATAAGCTTTCCTGGGTAAAAAACCACTTCTTCAGATGCATGCAACTGAAGAAGTGGTTTTCTACCCATGAAAACTTATGCCCAAATAGTCTTTAAGGTGCCACCAGACTCCTTGTTGTTTTTGTGGATACAGACTAACACTGCGACCCCTTAATACTTGATAATTCAGCTCGTTCTTATAACTGATTTTGAAGGAGATTTCCTCTCCCTCTCAACAAGGAAGATCTTAAACCCTGGATAATTGAAGTTCCAACTACTCACAAATACCATTCTTCTGAAATGGATGCTTAACCTCTTTAGAAGGATCTTGTTGGTTCAAATAAGATTGATGCTTGAGGAGGAAGAAGGCTACCAACTTCATTGTCAGTGTCAATTTGGCAAGTGGGTTTTAACCCAAATATTTATTTGCCATTGTTATGCAGCTGGTTACAATTTAGCATCTGGGCTTACGGTCAAAGGGAACACGTCTTTGGAATCCTGGTAGTTGGGCTTTGACTGTAGTTTGATATCTGTGTTGGTTGAGAAGTCTTTATAGTCTTAAACTTGTGATCTTGTGGTGAATACAGTGTGCAGCTGTGATCTAATGGATTGAGCACAGGATGTGAGCAGGAGATAGGTTCTATCCCTGACACTGTATTTTGCACAACCTTAGATAAGTCATTTAACTGCTGTGCCTCAGATATTTTTTCTTCTACAGTGGCAATAATACCCACTTTATAAGACACTTTGAAACCTCAGGATACTAAGCGCTATATAAATGACCATTACTTTATGGGCTTTGGATATATGTCATTCTTTTAACATGACCTCTGTATTATGACTAATCTGTCTTCCTGCTGACCGGTAATGGCTCTCCACTTGGAGAATTTGATCAGCTCAGATGGGTTTTTTGGTGCATGAAAACTTGATGAAATTGAGCAAAAGCTGATGGCCTGACTCAACAGTGCCGAGCACCCACAGCTCCCGGTGAAGGCAATGCGAGCTGGGGGTGCTTATCCTCTTTTTCAGAAGGTGCTATCTGAGTTTTTATATTTAAAATGTCTAGGAGTCAGGGAAGGGGAACTCTCAGGGTGTGTGTTAATCTTATAAAATACATAGGTGAGACCAGATGGCCTGAAGAAGAGCTCTGTGTCGCTCAAAAGCACGTCTCTTTCACCAACAGAAGGTGGTCCAGTAAAAGATACTGCCTCACTCACCTTGTCTCTTTTATATCCTGGGACCAACCCAGCTACAACACTGCAAGATACATAAGTATCAGCCAAGGCTAATGAAGCCAAAATGTCCATGGAAAACAGTGGCACGGAGGCTAGGGAAGCTTATCCCCAATGTATAAATATCTGCCAAGCACTCCCAGTCCCCATGTCAGTTACTTTGGCAGGGCTACTTTTAAAAAGTGGCAGTGGTCGCCCTAGTTAGGGTAGGAGTAGAGAGGTTATATTACCTTTGTATTTGACACTGGTGTGACCACTGTTGGAATACTGTGTCCAGTTCTGGTGTCTACATTATAAGAAGGATGTTGATACATAATACAGAGGGTTCTGAAGAGATCTGCAAAAATGATTAAAGGATTGAAAAGCATGCCTTATAGCGATAGACTCATGGAGCTCAATCTCTTTAGCTTAACAAAGAGAAGACTAAGGGGTGACTTGATCCCAATACCTATAAGTACCTATATACGGAGCAAATATTTGATATTAGAATCATAGAAATGTAGGGCTAGAAGGGACCTTGAGGGGCCATCAAGTCCATCCCCCTGCACTGAGGAAGGACCAAGTAAACCTAGTCCATCCCTGACAGGTGTTTGTCCAACTCATTTTTAAAAGCTTCCAAAGATGAGGGGAGGGATAGCTCAGTGGCTCGAGCATTGGCCTGCTAAACCCAGGGACCACCCGCCTTCTGAACAACTTCAGAGTCTGAATCTCCTTCCATTTATGCTGGGGAAGCATCTTCTGAAGGTTATAGTGACTCTGATGCTGCTAAAAGTAGCATTTTAAAAAATAAGTGGCTTTTCTGACTTCCTGCTTCCTTTGGAAGGCACTTAAAACTCGATGTTTAAAGCACTAGTAAAAGTACTGCAGGGAACATTGCCCTGGTCAGGGATTGGGCAGTGGTTCTCAAACTTCATTGCACCATGACCCCGTTCTGACAACAAAAATTACTACATGACCCCAGGAGAGGGGACCGAAGCCTGAGCCTGCCTGAGTCTCACTGCCTAGGGTGGTAGGGTCAAAGCCTGAGGGCTTCAGCCCTTGGTGGGGGGCCTGTAACCTGAGCCCTGTCTCCACAGGCCGAAGCCTGAGCCTTGCCGCCCAGGGCTTGAAGCCCTCAGGCTTCAGCTTTAGCCCCAGACCCCAGCAAGTCTAATGCCAGCCCTGGTGACCCCATTAAAACAGGTCACAACCCACTATGGGGTCCACACCCACAGTTTGAGAACCACTGGGCTAGATGATCCAGGTGTCGTCCTTCTCTGATGATTCTTAGACGCTGGCTGGAGACAAAGTTACTGTGACAATGGCTCTAAATTTGACATGAGACCTTGTTCTTCAGGTGCCTGAGGTGGTGAGCCATGCTGGGCAGGAGAACAAGACACCCCCAAGAAATAATCAGCAAGCACCGGATGAACCTATCCCACCAGGATGCTGTGCCCCAAAGGATCAACCCATCCAAAGAGTGTGACATCAGCCTGGAGGTGTTTAGCAAATCCACACCTGAACTCAAACAGAGCCGCAAGCTGGCACAGCAAGCACGGGACAGGAGAGCCCGCAAAGCTGACCTCAAAGACTCCAACGGGAGGGAGGCAGAAACAATTACCTTTATTTCTGGCACAGCAGAGGCTCCCCAGACCCAGAGCTTGTGCTGTCTTTCTTTGTCTCAGGCCTGGAACGCCTCCAAGGCTGTTCTCTGCTGTATAGTGGCCTGTGGGGGCTGCTTTAAGAATTGCAGCATTCACATCCCCTGCATGGGTCACACGGAGACTTCAACTGATGATGGAAGAAACAGAGAGCAAAATGGACGTGTGCCTAGCAACAGCCCTGCCAACATCTCCCCTGTTGAAAAGAATGGGAACCAGATCAAAAAGAATACCATGGGGAGCAGCTTCAGCTACCCAGATGTGAAACTGAAGGGGATCCCTGTCTATCCGAACCGGAGCCCTGGCAACCATACAGATGCAGATTCGTGCTACAAAGAGCCCCTGCCAGAGAAGACCTTCAGAAACAGCATAGAAAAGCCACCACTCCCCAGCAGCCACCGGAGCTCGGAGGAGTATTATTCCTTCCATGAGTCTGATCTGGATCTCAGTGAGTTGAGCAGCTCTATGTCTAGCAAAGAGATTGATGTCTTGATCTTCAAGAAACTGACAGAGCTCTTCAGCGTCCACCAGATTGATGAGCTGGCCAAGTGCACATCAGACACAGTCTTCCTGGAGAAGACCAACAAGATCTCAGACCTGATTAATAGCATCACTCAGGACTACAACCTGGATGAGCAGGATGCTGAGTGCAGGCTAGTCCGTGGCATTATACGCATCAGCACCCGGAAGAGCAGGGTCCGGCCCCCCATTTCCATTCCTGCCACCAAGAGCCACGAGGAGAAGATGAGCAGAGGAAACCCACCGGACAGCGGCAATGAAACCATGCTGGAGTCCCTAATCCCCAGCCAAGACGGTATGTGCAAGTCTCTTGTCCACACTAGCTTTGCAGCTCAGCTCCCTGTGTTTGAGAGCTGGGTTCACCTTGGGATATGGAAACCCTGGTCTTGTGAGGCTCCTACTTTGGAGTTTGCAGGGAGTGGAGTTGGAAACTGAACTGTAGCATCAAGGTTATTTTCCTGAGTTAGGGGGATCCTTATTCCCCTTCTAAATTCTGAAGATAGCCACTTAATACTGTCCAAGTCCCTGAGAACCCACTTTGCAGCTAGTATCCTTCTTGATAACTCACCATACTTTACTCTGCCAGAGGGGTTTGTGCTCCGTGATATAAGGGGCTGGCGATGCTGGTTCTGTGCTAGTCCTGGCTCTCCTCCCTAACCCCATCTTAGGAAGCAAGGCCATGAGTCAAACTCAGGTCACTGGGATGATCAGATCCGGCACATGCCAGAGCACTTCCACTAAGGCTAGTAAGCTGGCCTTCTTAATTAAGCTTGGCCAATGTTGTTCTTGGATAATGTTCACCTCCTGACGCTTTCTTCCCCGTGTCTCATTCTCAAGCCAAAGGAATCTCAGTTTTTCTGCCCGTAGCATGAAGGAACTTTCCCAATCTAGTAACAAATCTGAAACAATTGTTTATCAACAGTCTTGGAAAACTGGCTGGGTGTGTGTGGTGGGGTTTCACCATGTTAATTTTCTAATCTTTCATTCCATTTCCGGAAAGCCTTTCCTTCCCCCACTCTCCTCCTTAACTTAGAGTCCAGTAACGTAACAGTATACACTTCCAGACTTCTGAACTGCACATTGAGGCCGGTCACTAGCTTGTCCCCTATCGTTCTTCTCTTAGGTGTTAGTTACCTGCAAGTATCTCAAGTGCTGCCTAACCCTAAAAGAAAAGGGGGAGCTGCTGACAGAGTGGGAGGGCCTCTTTCTTTGGAATGTGCACCCCCTGTCCAAGTACCTGAAACTGCTCACCTCCAGGACATGCCACAAGGCGCGCTGTCTTAGGGCTCTTGAAGAAGCAAATATTGTTGGATGTGATGGGGAAGAAGTAAGACTATTCTATTTTTGGGCTCGCTGGTTACTTAGTTATAGGGTTGCTGTTGCTTTATTGTATTTCAATAGTTGTCAGAGGCACAAGAATGTTTCTTAAACCTAAAGAATAAAGAAGTAGTGAGCTTAGTCCTGATACTCAGCTGGATACATGCAAATGATATTGGCTGTTGGGAGAGAACTTTATATGTTGCTGGCAGGTTTGTCTGCTCATGGCACCATATACACCTTCAGTCTCTCCCCTCTCAGCACTTCTGAATTCTCTTTCCAGATTTGGCTGTGCAGATATCAGAGGAAACCACAGCAGATGTGATAGCCAGGAACATGAGGCGGTTCAGCGCTGCAGGTAACACCTCTGTCTCTGTCATAGTGAGAAAGCAAAGGCTACAGCTCTTCCAGCTTCCATTGTGACTTTGGGATGCGGCACTTGTTGAATAGAGGCCATTTCCTTCATTGGGAGGACCCAGGCTAGTACGTATGTACGTACACGCACACTCTTTTCTCCTGGGGCCTGAGACCAAGCCTGAGGGTTTTCAGTCCCCAAACCTCTTGACAAAGTTTGAAGGGAAGTGAAAGCATAGTTAGGATGGGATTTTGACTTCAGCCTGAGGGTAACTTACAGTGAAGTGAAGCAGCGGGGGCGAATTATTTACCAGCAGATGCCTTGGGCTCTGTTCCTCTCCCATATTGCTTTTAATGTTTTGCATCAGAGAGCAGCCGTAGGCTGAGCTGCTAGTTCCCCTGTGTGTGTGAAGTGACAGGATCTCTTCTGAAAGTTGCCTCTGATACTCTGGGCTGTTCCCTGCCTGAGGGCGTCAGCTGCTTTCTCTTCCCTCACCATAGGTAAGCCCCTTCATGGCAGCTGTATCTGTGTAGCTCCTGAGGATTTTGCTGCTGCAGTCTGTGCCATTTTATTTGAACTTATTTCCCCCCCCCCTTTTTTTTTTTCCAAGGGTCTCCAATGAGCAGAGCTTCCTCCTACCAGGACACAGAGACTGATTCGTCTGGAGCACCGCTGCTTCAGGTTTACTGTTAGAATAATGGACCAAGGCAGGACTCTGTGGCGGGAGAGGTCGCTGGGCCTTACAGCAAACAGAGTTCCTCATCTCTTTTCATATAGAACATGCTATGCCACTTTATTTTCTTCAGTTCTCTTTTTCCCTTGTTAAAGTTCAACTTGCCCCTCAATCTGTGGGGTGCATTGGATTATTTTTCTGTGTGTGGGGGATCATAACAGAACCTTGAGGAAATGGACCATGAATCTAGTGAACTTATTCAGACAGTGGGATGTGAGTTCTGGGAACAGAAGATGGACAAGGGGATACTGACAAACGGAATATGTTCTGCCTTTGTGGGAACTTCCACTCTTGGAGTGCAGTTTTAGTACCCAATCAGACATCCAGCTGTTGCCCAGCTCCAAGAGTCAGCTGTACAGTTTTTGCCCTTCTGGTACTGTAGATGTTAATGTATGTTGTGTAGCTTTGTTGATGATAGGAATGTCTTTACATTTGTAGCAATTCTGTTGAGGTGAACTCCAAGGCTGTGAGAACACCTGTTTAAGATCCCAGATGTCTACTTACCGTTGCTGGCCTTGATTGTCCCAGAGGCTGAGTCCTCTAGGCACAGTAGCCAGACAAGCTTTCTTGACAAAGTGCCTTACACCTGTCCTGGAGGGACCACCTCAGAAAAGAGAGGGTAGTTCAGCCTTCAGGGTTCGTTTAATCCTTGGCCTCTTTGTAGTGGGTGCCAACAAAGCAACCAAGCCATTTAATGCTAACTACAATGTGGACAACTTGTTGACGAGACTAACTGGACTGCGACCCAACTCTTGTCTCTCAGGTTATCATGCAACCATTGAGTAACAACTTTAAATCACTGCCAGTCTGGTGAGAACCACTGACATGAGGTATTAAATAGACAAAGGTGTTGATTTATAACTCATTTGCCAATCAGCTTTTCCCTCACTCACCTGCCAAGGCTTACATAGCCCTTGGTGCTCATGTGAACTGCTGGAGAAAGCCCTGACCTTGGGTCTTAGCAGGTAAGTGAAAGACCAGACTTTTTTTAAAATTACAAATCAGTCCTCCCTGTAACTCTGCCTGTGTGTTTGGGATCTTAAATGCTCCTTAGAAATGCTCCCTGGAAAACTTTGCTGTTGCCTTTAAAGGGAGGGAGAAGGGCTTTTTGGGGGAACTCTCCATGAAGTATATGTAGGGAACTGATTATTGCTGTGTAAATGTGACTCTCACCCCCCTTCGCACAGGGGTGTTCAGTGTGCTCAGCCTCTTTCCTAGAAGCTGTGGCCACCCTAAAGGCACCAAACTGGGTGACCTTGAGGGCTGCAGCTTTGCAGAAGCCTGAGGCCTGCACCTCATTGGCATCTCCACTGGCTCGTTATCAGAAAGTAAACACACCCAGCTGTGAGATTTGTTTATACACCTTGGTGCCTTAGCAGGGGAATAGGAAATGCTCGTTGGTGGAATTAACCAGCAGTGAAACCGGTGTCCAGTGTTGCTAGAGACAGACAGTGGCAAAGGTGGGCTCTTGCCCTGGTGTATGCCGCACTTCTGTGCTTCAGCAAAGGAAAGGGGTCTTGAGCTTGTAGGTTGGGACTCTAGAGCCTGTGTTTGCCTCCTGTGCTTTTCAGCTTTTTGTAGCTTTTGGTTCCTCACTTCACTAAGTAGGGCTTATGTAGCTGCCAGTTGTGGACAGAACCCCTTTGAAACATACCATTCACCTGAGCCACATTTAAGTCCCACTCAGACCTACTTGCTGTTCTTGTAAATTACTTGCTTTTAAAAAATACAGATTCAATCATATCACTTGAAACATCAGAAACACTGGCTCATGCATCAGTGTTGACTCGGCAATGATATTTAGGCTAAATAACTGATCCCACATCACTTCGAAGCTTCTTCCACATTTGCCTGTGTTTTCTTGTGGCGCTGTGTTCCACGTTTGGGCCTTTGGCGGGCTCAGAGGGATGGTCTGGCAATGCGGGGGCCACTGAAGTTTTGGTGAGTTCGATTGTATTTCCTTAGGCTTTGTTTTTAAAGCAATGAAATGTAAATTTGAAAAAGCCCTCCCACTTGTTCATGTGAGGACCTGACTCCTGGCAAACAGAGACTGACTGTAAATACGTAATATTTTACATACTACATTTGATGGGCCTTGCTGACTCTTGGCTTCTGAACTAGTTTGTAAATATGTATTTGGATAAGTTTGCTTTTTTAAATGCACATTTACATGACAACGTAGCCTGGCGCCTACTGCTGGAACAAACTGGTTCCATATAGCACCTATGATGAGGCAGTTTCAGGAAGAGCTGCCAATGGCTGCTGCCCAGATGCAACAGCAGACTTTTACAACTGTTTATACAGCCATTTATGCCAATGGTGCCTGACAATGTATGCGTCTTAAAACTCCGAGTGAAAAAACCAGTGGGTGTTAGAGGTGTAAAACAATTCCTGAAACTGGCAAACCTGTTGTATGTTATGTTGGACTCCGTCTTTCTGTTTTTTGTTTTTTTAATTGCTCCCTATTTAATTATGCTTTTAAATTTCAGCCTGAAGCAGATTTTAAGCACATCCTTTGCTGAAGGGTCTGGGAGAGAAGGGCGTGTGTAGTGCCCTGCAGCTGGCAGACAGCAATGGTCCAGCTAGAAGTTTCTCTTGTGGTTGACCATTGTGTTAATGACAGATTTCAGAGTAACAGCCGTGTTAGTCTGTATTCGCAAAAAGAAAAGGAGTACTTGTGGCACCTTAGAGACTAACCAATTGTGTTAAGTCTGTATATCTTTTTTCCCCGGTTGATTTAATGCAGCCTGGTGTCTGGGGAGCAATGAGGGTCTGTGTAAATAAAGTAGCCTCTTGGGAGCTGTCTGTGTGCAGGGAAATGTGTGTGGGGGAGTTAATAAAGGGAAGACACTGTCAATGACAATTCTACAGAACTGAGGCCAATCTTCTCTACAGTGTCTCTCTTCTCCCCCCCATCCCCAAATCTTGTACTCATTTAATCCATCTGGAGGAGCCACACCCTCATGAAGCGGGGGGGGGGGGGTGTCAGAGCTTTTTGTTCTCCTGACCCTCTGACTTGAAGGACCAGTTTTGCCTTTTTAAAGTCAGTTACTCATCTAGTAGCTAGTTTGCAAAGTCCTGCTCCTGCACCTGCTGTCGCGCTCCTTTTTTGGGGTGGGGAGGGGATGGGAAGGAGATGGTCAATCAAAGGAACTCCCATGTCTCTCTAGCCTTGTCATTAGACGAGGGAGTGTGGCTGCTTGTAGGGTAACTACCTTGTCATACACTTTTTCAAAGGTATGGGGGTGTGGTAAGAATTGGTGCCAGACCCTTCTTTCTCCTCTTTGCAAGACACTTCCTAGTGGCAGTGGGGCTCCATTGAGACCCGATTGTTGGATTGGAAGGTGGTTGGTTTGGGGAGAGGGAGGGATTTAAATCCCCCTTGTTAGGTCAGGGGTTGCTAGGAGCCTTTCAGTCTGATCTGAAATCTGGAGCTTTCTACATCTAAGTTGCCATTTGAATGGTGCTGCAGGCAGTAATGATTGAAAACTCCCCACTGTTGCATGGCTGGTGTGAAACAAGCTGGTTGGTGTCAAGCCAGTGATTCCCAGCACAACCCCTGTTCCATTTGGGAGCTACGGTTCTCTGTCTAGAGAGGCAAAAGATTGAGACCAAACTCCCCACTTACTCTGCAGACCTCCATGTGGAGGTCCAGGGAAAGACGTTTGGACTGCATTTACCCGTTGGGCTAAGTAGACATCAGACTGTAGTCCTGTCAAGCTGCCATCTTCCACCAGCACTAAATATCCAGTCAGACCCCTGCAGGGAGACAGCCTTCCTTTTTAATGTTCTTTATTTTCATTTTAAAAATATGAAGGGAGGAAAAAATCCTTGCTCTAGGCTGGAAGGGATCTGCCAGGGAAGAACCTTTGCTTGTGAACAGAGCTGTTTTATTGGTGAACCAGGGCAACAGGTATATAGAACTAATACGGCCAGCTCCACTTAAGTGGCAGTAACTTAAGCTGCCTTTCAGCCAGCTTTCTGAATAGCTGCCTCATCCGGGTCCTGCAACTGGGCTCTGGCCACAGAATGTCTTCTCCACTATCCCAGTCTGTTTCGAAGCAGCTTTGGAAGAGGGCCCGACAGCTTGCAGCCAGCTAATCACAGGGCAGCCCCCTCACAAAAAGCCACTCTAGGATGCGCCACTTACTCTTTTCCAGCTGCTTTATGGGACCCAAGTAGGTTTCCCTTCTGTTTGGCCAGCTTCCTGTTTGGGGTTAGCTTATTTTGAATTAGTGGTGGGGAACGGCTGATGACCACAGAATTGCTCTGTTGTTTTGTACTGGTGATCAGGCATATTTTCGACACACCAGGCCATCCTAAAAGCTGTGACTCAAGTTATTACTTATTTGTACTGCAGCCGTGACTAGAGGCCTCACCCACAATTGGGAGCCCATCAAGTTACCCACTTTGTACACACATGGTGAGACATGTCCCGGCCCCCAAAGAGCCATGTAATCATACCGAGCTGGCCCTTGGTTCCAAACCCTCATTAATTGCTGTTCTCAGAATATTTCTAGGGAGTAACTAGGATGTCTTCTGCCACCTTAGACTGCTTAAAATAAAGATCTGACAATGCATCCATCTCACTTCTTGGTTCCTTGTAGAATAGCAGTGAAAGTGCTTTAAATTCTCACTCCCGAGCCTGGGTGTCACTTTGTTTCTTGACTGCTGTGTTCTCCCCATTCATGCCTGGGTGTTGAATGAATTTGCAACATCTTTTTTGCTACTGGAAGAGTTGTCATGTTTGTCAGTCCAGCAGTTTCTTAGCCTGTGTCTACACTACACAGCTTTTAGCATAGCTGCTGTTTGTTGCCTTTTCTGCTGACAAAAACTTCCACCCCCAACGAGCGGCATTTGCCGGCAGCTCTCCTGCTGACAACACGCAGTTCACGCTGACGCTTGTCGAGGCAGAACTTTTGTCTTTTAGGGTTGTTGTGGTTTTTTTTAACACTTCTAAAAGACAAAAGTTTTGTCATTCACTTGTCAGTGTAGACCTAACCTTAGTTGCTGTATCTGGATCCACTCTGGGTTTCAGTATTGGGCGTGGTACTGAATGGGGCAAGTGATCTTTTGGGAAGAATATGGTGACTAGGGAACTAGTGCCATAACACTAAAAGAGACCAAGAGCTGAGCAACACAGGAGGACAGGGATTTTTAGGCAGACTGGTTTTAACATACATTTACCTCCAATGTCTAAATGAACACCTGTGAGAGAGGATTTCCCCCCTCCCACCGCTCAGTTGAGAGCGCACAAACCTTCAATTTATGGGTGTTTCCTTAAAAGAGAGTCTGATTCATGATGAATCTACGTGTCAGTACTATCTCATTGTCTCACACCTGTTAGTTACATAAATATCTGTGGATTTAACCCGAAGCAGTCTTCATGATGAACATGCAGCTAAAATCAGCAGGAGCAGGACTGAGGTACGTTGGGAAACCACCTGTGAATTTACTTCCTTTTGGGAACTTGAGTCAGCATCTTTATTTCACTGTTGACGTCTTTGATTTTTTTGGTTAAGATTTTCAGTGAAATAAATAGCAAGTCTCTACTGAGCATGTGTCTTAATCACCATTGGAAAACCACCTAATGGTGCTCTTCAGAGATTTTATGATCTGTCACATGACTATGCCCCTTAGCAGAAATCCAGGACCATGCAGGTCATTGACCTGAGCAACCATGGTCCTATTGGAAAACCCGGGAAGTGGGTGGGCGCAAGCCCATGGTAGCACCTTCATCCTGGCTGTGTTTCTCTGCATACATATGAATCTAGAACATCCTTGTGCAAAAATCAACTCTATATGCACAGACCCCTGCTTTCAAACCCCTTGGCAGTGATTGTTTTATTTTGTTAAAGTTAGCAAAAAGCGATTGATCTTCCTGTGAATGAACAGACTCTGGTTAGGTTTGGCAATTTTGATTGTATTCCTGGAGGTTTCATCACATGACATGTTTAATTCCTAGAGACTCTGGGACAATTCTGGAGGGTTAGCAACCCTAACTCTGGTCTGTGTTTTTTTTAATTACTGTTTGGAGCATGCAAAGAAAAGCAAATAAACACCATGTTCCTCTCACCTACCCACCTCTTGAAAATGACTGAATGGTTTCTTTCCATGTGGTCAAAAAGTGATGTTGGAAAATGGACTGTTCTACCTTGATCCTTTCCCAGCCCAGTCCGTATTAGCTTCCTCCCTTAAAGTGAGAGCTGCAGCCTCTGTTCAAACTAAAAAGCAGTGATTTTAAATGCCTAGTACTTGTTCTTTCTCCTGCAAGGCTTTGCTACTGAATAGTTTGTTTGTAAAATAGTACCACAGCCTGGTTTGCTTCTCGTACTGTTTAAACATGTAGCTTAAAAAGCTACACAGAGGCTGGTGTTAGAAAAAGGAAAGTGGGAGGGGGAGAGAATTGTATTTCAGCTTGGAAACACCTCTACAAAGAGTCTTCAGGGCTTTGCCTAAATATGTGGGAAGGGAAGAGCTGAGACCCCCTGAGGATATGTCTACACTGCAGCTGAGAGTGAGCCTCCCAGCCCAGGCAGCCAGATTCAAGCAGGGCCTGAGCTAGCCTGGATGTTGCAGCTTGGGCTGGAGTTCAGGCTCTGAAGCTTAGGAAGTCAAGTGGGCTTGAGAGCCAGAGCCCCACTGTATACATGACAACTGTTAGGATGCTAGCTCGAGCCCTGCTAGTAAGTGTCTCTACCAGGGCTGGGAGCCTTGCTCCCAGCTGCAGTGTAGACAAAGCCAAAGAGGTGCATGATAAATTGCTGACCTAAGGAACCATTGTTGAACCCAAAGGCTCGAGTAGATCTTTCGTGGGTGTTGGGCTGCTTCTGTTGTTCCTGCTCTTGTCTGTCACCTATGCACAGTGCAGAGCTAGCTCCCCTGTCTGCTCCCTGTAGAGTTCTATTGCGTGGAGGCATGCTTGCCTTCGGCAACTCCAGCTCCTGTCACAGGATGATTGATTTTGTTGTGCTTCCTGCATGCAGTTTGAGTGTCCACAGCAGGGCAGTGAGCCTGGGGACATTGCCCCTATCTTGAAAACCACCTTTCAAGTTAAACCTGCTTGGGAATGGTGACTAGTATTAACATACTTGTGTGCTGAATTCTCCTTTCTTTGCCAAGGGGTGGCAGCACTGACCCGCATGATTGCTTTTGTAGCAAAGCAGTTAAAAGCAGTGGATGAGCTGCCAAAATCTTAACAACCGGTTCCCTATAAAAAGTTCTGATTTAAGGGATGTACCTCTGTCCTGCCCCCTCCTGCCTCCCTAGGCCCGTTCTCCATCCCAGGTGCCTGCTGGTGGTGCAGGAGTCCCACCACCCCCTGTTCCACCCCTTCCCCAAATCCCTGGCCCCACCTCCTCCCCCAGGCATGCCACATTTCCTCCCCCCCCCATTGCTTCCTACGGCTTCCCCCTGCAACCTCCCTGCCGTAGCTCACCTCCGCTCCACCTGCTCCCCCTACCACCCCGCTGCTCCGCTTCTCCCCCCGTCCCTCCCAGGCGTGGGAGAGGCAGAGTGGAAGTGAGCGAGGGTTGCGGGGGAGCACAGGAAGTAGGGGGGGGGTAGAGGAACCGCTCCCCACCCCAGCTCTCCTCCACTCCACCACTGCCGCCTCCCACAACTGAGCCGCAGCTCGGCTTCTCCCTCCCTCCCAGGCTTGCCGCGCCAAACAGCTGTTTGGAGAAGCGGAGTGGCGGCGGTGCGCTCAGGAGAGGAGGCGGAGCAGAGGTGAGCTGGGGCACATTTCCAGGGGCAGCACGACACCGGAATGCCACCCCTAGAAATGTGCCACCCCAAGCACCTGCTTGTTTTGCTGCTGCCTAGAGCCAGCCCTGTCTCCAACAGCCCCCTTCTATAGCCCTACCCCGTGCACCCTCCCTAGCACAGTGAGTCGGGGCCCCCTTGGCCTGGGGGGCTGCCCCAGCCAAGCCCCATCCTGGCTGGGACTTTCTGGGCCAGCGACTGCCTACCCAACCCTGCCCTGTTCCCTGACCGCTGCCCCCCCCACAGAACCCCTGCTCCTTATCCAACCCCCCTCCTCCCAGCCCCGGCCCGGCCCCCTTATCATGCCACTCAAAGCGGCAGGCGCTGCAGAGCTGCCCGGGTGTGGTCCAGAGCGCTGGCGTGCTGAGGCTCTGCGAGCTGGGGGAAACCTCCCCAGCTGGGAGCTCAGGGAACCCTGACAACCGGTTCTAAAACTGCTTCTAAATTTAATCACCGGTTCGTGTGAACTGGCTCCAGCTCACCACGGTACTGGTGGAGGTCTAAAGCTTTCACCATTACCAGGGATTGCTGGCAATTTAGCTCTGGAAAAGTTTTTCAGCTGATGTATCAGGGCTTTTGGGAGCCTACTTACATCATGTGAAGTATGACTCCTGGTCCCAGGAAGTGTCTACAATGCGTGTAACTAGACTGCTTCACATCTGCAATTGTGGATCCACCTTCACAGCTGCTTGGAACCAGAAACCCCCTTTCCCTGCTTTGATTTATTTCACTCCAGCATGACCCATTCAGTTGGGGGTGTTGTTTTTACTGACCTTTCCCTGGCAGGAGTCAATGACACCTCAGCAGTGGCACAGGACAAGGTCAGCAGGGAGAAACACCTTCCATTCCGCTGGCTGGAAGGGTTGAAGTCCAGGGGCTTAGGCCTAAAGCCAAGCTTTGATTCACAAACACAACCTCGGATGTTAGCTGCTGCAGTCTATTCCCATAACTTGAGCAGGGTCATTCTTGGGGGGGGGTAGATTTCCCTGCACACATGAATCAACAGCAGCTACCTGCTAACGTGATAGGGGTGCTGCTGTAGCAGATTCTCTCTCAAATCCTGGGTGGCTGGCACCTAAAATGGGAAGTCTGGTGCCAGATTGGACTAGAAAATTGAGATTTAATATCTTAAGGGTATGGCTGAAGTTAACCACCATCATGTGCTGTATAAGATAGGTTTTGTCCCCTAACAGCCATGAAGTGAACAAGAACAGCGGCTAAGCTCAGCGTCAGGCATTATCTCAGTCAAAGCAAGGGGGAGGCTCTGTATTTAAAAAAAAAAATCAGTAGAGGTGCTTGTCAAAAGGTTTCTCACGTCAGTTCTAGAGACAGCTGCATCCCAATGACTTTTGTTACCTTTGATCTGCTTATTTCCATTGCTGGGTTAGCAATAACTATTCTTAGGGCTGCCTATGGATGCGAGAGCCCTGCTTGCTGTGGACTGAACCCTGCTCCCACGTGGGGTTTGCACTATCTGAAGCAAGAGGTGTAGTTTGCTCATCTATCTTCCTCCTCACCTTTGATCTGACCCTACTTCCCTCCACAAAACAGGGTGACCGAACTCGATTTCTCCCACACCAACCCCTGCCAGCCAGGGATGAAGTGGGGCTGGTGAACTGAGGACATGGTTCGAGGAGGGCGGTGCTACAGGCAGGTCTGGCCTCTGATCAGTCTCTGCCACTGCAGCTGCTGAAACTTGACTCGTTAGGAGGGGCCCGAGGCTGGGAGCTAAGCCTAGTGCAAGCATGGAGGTTAGCCTGAACTTTCCCATTGCTCCTGCTGTTCTCCCACCTCAAGGGATGGACAGAACCCGACAGGCACCTGCCCTCAGTGACTTCCTCTCTACCCCTCTCTGAGCTCTGCAGTTCAGCATCACGGTAGGCTCTCCACACACATGCCGCAGATATACTGACCTGATTTTTTGGCCTGCTATACACCAGAACTGGACAGAAAAGTTGGCATATATAAACCGTACATTCCAGGAACTTAATGTAGCTGCTCAGCCTGCACAGGAGAGAGAAATAATGCTTACACATGTCACGTTAGTGGCTGGCCCAGTCAGTTTTAATGTAAGACCCTGAAATACTTTTTTCTTATGTCTGCACACTTGACTTCAGTGAGGGCAGAAATGACGAGAACTGGTGGTGAAGTGACAGCATAGCCTGTCCAGCGGGGGTGGAAGCTCAGGCAGAGAGTGTAAGGAAGCACCCCTGCACCTCAGAGTGGCAGTTGTCAGGGCAGGTGCCCAGCTCCATGCTCTGTTACAAGGCTGCTGCTGTAGGGGATTGTGCAGGCAGTACTGACATCTGGGGCCAAAATGTACAAAAGCTGAGACAGAACAGACTGGCCTTGGCTCAGCTGAGCGCAAACAAGCTGCCGTGTCCTGCTGCTATAAACCGAAAACAAACAGCCCAGGCACATGGGCAGAGGGGACTTTACCCCTTTGCCCAACTACCCGTTCTGGCAATTTGACTAGCCCCTCCAGTGATACCAAAAGGCAGCTTTTCCACTCCATCTGATACAGAGGCAGCTGATGAGAGAAATAAAGACCTGCTGCTCTCGCTCCATAACCACACCAGGGCTCAGGCCTAGTTCCTGCACAGCAATGTGTGTGGTGAAAAAAAGCCATCATGGCATGTTATGCACCAAGCCTTTTTCACAGGCGCAGCACTGATCAGGCAGGGGGGCAGCTACTTCAGATCGAGCACCAGGGCCGCTATAGGCAGAGGGTAGGCCAAAGAATAGGGCCGTTGGCCAGCCCGGACTAAAGTGTACAAGCTGGGCCCAGGCTCAGTCACAGGCCGAGCTGTGTGCTTCAGGAAGTGGAAGTCAGAGGTGGTGACCGGCCTTAGGCAAGATGAGTGTTAAAAGTCCCAGATCAGCAATGCACCAGCCTCTTCTTCCTGCAGACCCCACCTCATTATTGCTTTCAAATGTTTCAGACAGGGCACTGCAGCTCACAGTTGGTCCAGGCAGAGTTTGAGACTCCCTGGCCTAAAACCCCTCATCAGTCCAGCCCTTAGTGTTCTCCATTTCCACCTTCTACTGCTTTCAGACCAGGTGCTGCCCCATTATCAATCCCCACCCTACTTACCACACAATTACACATGCATGTCACCCTATTTCCTTTATTTTACAAGTGCAGCTTTAACAATGATATGAACATGCAGAAAACAAGTTACTCAAGTCAGCAGCACCCCAGAGAGGAGAGAATATAGGGGACACTTGCTGGCCAATCAACACGTGAAAGAGAGGAGGCCTCTTGGAAAACACTAACTTGACATAGGTGGAGAGATCAAGCTTCCAGCAGGCTTCCTCCTGCCTACCATCCACCCCCTCCCTTTGCAAAGGCAAGAGGGCTTAAGTGCTCCTCCTTCACAGGACAGCAGAATT